GGAGAGTTAAGCCCAAGAGCTCTGCAAGGTCTAGATAAATGATATTTCTTCCTTATAAAACTGCTGTACAAGAATAAAACAAGGCATGCAAACATTTTAGAAAACAGCACGTGGATTTTTTATACTTTTTTTTTTTTTTTTCCCCAGAGATGGAATTCCTCTGGAATTCTCACTGTGATGCTTCCCCATTCACTACCCTCCAACTCCATGCACTGAAGAGGAGGAGCTCAGAGCTACAAAAAGCTTTGCCTTTGCCCCCCTCTGCTGCAGCCTGGATCCTGCAGGACTGGGTCCTTTGTAGTTCCCAGTGTGGCTTCTCCCCTGCTGCTCACTCTGAGTGCTGCTGTCTAGCCAGCTATCTGTGCAGGTTTTAGCACTCTCTTTGGGATTAGCTCCACTGAACCTCCCGTGAATTTCCTCTGTTGCTGAATAAGAAGAAAAGCCCTAGAAATATGAGGTTTGTAGAAACCTACTCTGAGACTGGGGATCTGTGTAACTGGTGGTGAGACCAATGCTCACAGTTTTCAGCTTTTCTGGAGCACGTGCAAGGTGAGTGGAACAGGTTGCCCAGGGAGGTTGTGGCTGCCCCATCCCTGCAGGTGTTCAAGGCCAGGTTGGATGAGGCTTGTGCAGCCTGGTCTGGTGGGAGGTGTCCCTGCTCATTGCAGGGGGGGTTGGAACCTGATGGTCTTTAAGGACCTTCCCAACCTTCACCATTCTAGGATTCTATGTTTCTGTGTAACTCCTGCAGTGGCAGCAACATCCTGTATATTCTCAAAAAAAAAAACCACCTGTATTTTCCAGTCTCATTTTAAGCACTTTTCTGCTATTTGTGACGTTGGCTTTAATGCTGTGTCACTTAACACCATCCCTGCATGCAGTTCTTTCATGGGCCTTGACCAGTTTCATCCCACCTCTCAAAGAAATCCTCCTCCTGGACCTGCAGCACAAAGAAGGGAGGAGAAAAAAGTGGCAGGAGCAAAATAAAAGAGGACTATCAAGCAACATCAGTCTTGTGACACCCTTCCTCACAGCAGCCTCCTCTGTCATGTTGCATCATTGCTAAAAATAGACCTTAAGGTCCTTGGGGATATGGCATTTGTCTTTTGTTCTGGAAAGTGCCCCGTGCAGTTTGAGTCTCACTTAAAAAAAAAAACAAACCTGTAGTACAAATAGAATAGAGTGGGTTTTAAGATCCTTTATTTCCTTGTTCTCACTTAGAGTCCTGCTTCTTAGTGGTGAGAATGGACCTCGGAAGGTCCAAACTGCATTGCCAGTCAGAGCTAAAATAAAGGGTGGAGGAGACTTTTCACCCTGCACGGGGGGATTTCTACAGAACCATGTTGGTGTCTCTAGCCACAGGTGCTTCTTGCCTCCCAGTAGCTTAAATAAACAGAAAAAGAATAACATGAGTAATTAAATGCAAAGAAAGCAGGCAGGATAGACTGATTGGAACAATCCTTTGATGATAAATCAAGGAAAATCACACAGGTGGGAGTGGAAACTACAGCTCGAAGGAGTATCAGCTCGAGTCTCAGATACTGTTTAAAACTGTCTCAGTTGCCTTCCTGGGTCAGACTGAGCTCTGAATTTTCCAGAAGTGACTCTCAAAGACTCTTGAGAAGGAGTAAAACACCAAAACTAAGAGGCTCTGTGAAATTTTAGATGAGATTTGATCTTTCAGAATACTGAAGCAGAGGGAAAATGTTAAAATATATGGGAGCCTATTCTACAAGAAGGTAAAAGACTTCACCTATGTTTGGTGGAAACTCAGCTGGTTGCTTGGGCCATCTTCACTGCCTGGGGTAGGTTGTGTTATCTTCTCAGCTGTGAACTGGTTAAAGCTTGGGCTTCAGCCTCCTGTCTTTCTCCATTTCCAGACAACTGCAATAAACCAAAACTCCCCATTTATCTGCCACTCAGAAGGGAGGTCCAGGAAAGTGACCCAATGTGACAAAAGGCTAGAGAAGGGGGATCAGAATCCACAAAGAGAAGCAGCCTGGGTTCACTTGTAAGTTAGGTTTCTCTTGATATTTCACTCTTGAGTAGTTTATTCCGGACAAATCCCATCTTGTAACAAACGGTGCAGGTGTGTGACATGCAGGCCTGGGTTTTGTCCACCTGTGTGTCATGATCTAGGGAATATTCACCACTCAGAACGGGACTGATGTGGCCTAACACCCAACTGGTCAATCCATGCCTGAAGTATTTACAAGGATATATATTTTTTGTGGCCTTTCTTTATTTGCTGTACGGAATCAGCAGACAAATTACGGTTTTGGGAATAATGCTGATGAAAAAAAGGCTCAGAAGCTGTTCTGTGGGACCCTGCTCAGTGGAATCTCTGGAGTGCTTTGAAGGAGTCACATCACCTGTGAGGACAGGCTGGGGTTGTTCAGCCTGGAGGAGGCTCGGGGAGTATCTTATAGTGACCTCCCAGTACCTGAAAGGGTAAGAAGGCTGGGGAAGAGCTGCTCACAAGGCACGGAATGGCAGGACACGGGGTCATGGTTTTAAGCTGGAAAAGAGGGGATTTAGGTTGGATATGAGGAAAAAGTTCTTTACTATGAGGGTGGTGGATCATGGAACAGGTTGCCTGGAGAGGTGGAGGCCCCATCCCTGGAGACATTCAAGGGTTTGATGGGGCTCTGGGCAATCTGGGCTAGTTGGAGATGTCCCTGCTGATTGTAGGGGGGTTGGAACAGACTGGAATAGACCCTGAGAGGTCCCTTCCAGCCCAGACGTTCCATGGTCGGTGTTATATCCTCTTGTTTACGTATTACAACTTCTGAGGCGATACATCCCGTCCTTAACCTGCTGAAGAACACGAGCAAGGCTTGACCGTTGTTACTGCACCCGAGACGCGTTTTTCAGGCGGTTTTTGAAGCGCAGGCCGGGCAGGGCTCCCCCTGCAGCAGCCGCAGGGACCTCAGGGCGGGCAGGGGGGGGGGGTTGGGGGGCGCAGGGGGAG